AAAAAAAAAAAAAAAAAAAAAACCCATGACCAATTGGAATCTGACCCCTTAGTCCTGGACCCCCCCGCCTTTTTACCCACTACCTCCCCCCATGCCATTCTATGTTCACCAATACCAGGGGTAGTGGTGGGGGTGGGAAACACTCAACCAATTCTGACAGGGGCCGAGGCGGGATAGAGGGGTCTATCTTCGTCCAGTCTTGAAAGCATAAATGGTAGTCTCTTTCGCCATCTCCTACTTCGTTCCTCCCCCTCTCCCTTCCTTTCCACACAACCTTTGTGATCCACCCCCCTTCTTCCCCCCCCAGCCAGTCTTCCCAGAAGCTATCTATGTTTTGTCTGATTTCTTGTTTGGAATGTAAAAAAGATATCTTCTGTCTTACTTTTTCCCATTGACTAAAGAGATGTCTTCATGTATTTGTTCTTTTATTGAGCTGATGAAATCGGTGCCATCCCGGCGAACCCCTTCCATTTCCGGTGTGCGCACCTACGCCACCAGATACCCCAGATGCTTCATGGCTAAATTTTGGAGGCCGCCTTCACATGCAACGGACGCTGGAACCCGTTTCCAGCACAAGCCGAAGCTAGGTAAGTGAATTGTGAGCTCCCGGGCCTGGTCTCATTGGTTATAATATAGTTGTCATGCCTTTTTCAACAACAACAAAAAAAAAAAAAAAAAGGAAAAAAAAAGGGCAGTGGTCATTCACCTATAAAAAAAAAAAAAAGAAAAAAAAGAAAAGGGGGGTCACCCACTGAAAAGGCCGTCAATATCTGAAGCACATTTTTGAAGAAGAAAGATGCAAAAGACTGTTGGGCTTAGCTCAGTGGGTACATCCGTGAGCTGCAGACGTGCAGACCCAAGTTCGAATCCGGATGGAATCACGTAAACAGAAGTAAAAACACAATAAGATACGGAAAAAAAAACACGAAGGAAGATTAAAAAATTTCCGCGGAACGAGGCGCTGGGGGAACATAAGGAGTTGAATTAAACACACACACAAAAAACAAAAAAAAGGAGTTGAATAGAGGCGGCGTAGATCCACATGCGCACACCACTCTCTCCTTCTTCGTTCTCTTCTCTTCAACGGTTACCCGCAATCGGTGTCGCACACCGTAAAACCGTATAGACACGTGTGGAGTCTCGCCCAGGTGCCACAGAACACGAGGCCGATCTTCCTCCTCCTCTGCCCACCCAACATCCGCTGCCACGACCAACGGGAAGAACGGGTGACCCCATGAGTCTCTTTTTTTTTTTCTTTTTTTCTTTTTTTTTGTTTGTGGTGACCATAAGTCTAAGTACTCCGTGCTTTTGAGCAAACTGATTTAGTAATGAGAGCTTGGGGAACCCGCATTACTGCTCCCTGCTTTAACTCAAGCTCTTACTGCTCCCTGCTTTAACTCAAGCTCGAGGAGCCCCCATTATCTTGTTCGGGGAAGCAGGCAAACGCCTACATCATGTCATGTGCACTTCCGGATTGAACGACTGCAGGTCAATCTCGCAAGCAGGAGCAAGCAAAACATAGATAGCCACGAAGGCGCTAATCGAATGCGAGGGGGGAAACAAGGAGATTGGCTCAGAGCCTCAGATCGCAGAAGTTGTCACGAATGTTCCCTCTTCTTCGTCTCTTCTTAAGTCTTCGTCTTCGTCTTCTTCTTCTTCGTCTTCTTCTTCTTCTTCTTCTTCTACTTCTACTACTTCTACTACTACTACTACTACTTCTAGTACTACTACTACTAGTACTACTACTACTACTACTACTACTACTCTTACTACTACTACTACTACTAGTACTACTACTACGACTATGAGACATGTAGACGCTTCTTCTTCTTCTTCTTCTTCTTCTTCTTCTTCTTCTTCTTCGGCTTGCCAGGAGGGCAGACTGGCCGAAACGCGTCGGGGAATTTGTGCGTTTATGCATTTCTATTGTTGCGTGTACGAGAAGCAGTCTTTGGCCACTGTTTTATCACTATTTCTTCTTCTTCTTCTTCTTCTTCTTCTTCTTCTTCTTCTTCTTCTGAGACATGTATGCGCGGAGCTGATGGATATTCTGTGAGCTTGTGTGAAGCGTGTAGCCTAAGATAGTTGGCCCCTGTTTTCAGTATGCGCTATTCTCCAATCTTCTTGTGCGCGTTTGAGTTATCTGACGTGGATGGAGGTGCTTCTTTGAACTTGGCCTCGCTACTAAATTCTATTAGTTTCTTCTTCTTCATGGGCGACACAGGGTATAACAGGACTACGTAGCCCTCACCAATGTTGTTGCCACGGGGGACCCAGAAGACTCAGTAAGTAACACACAGTGTCACACACGCACGCAAGTCGTTCCCAATGCACAAGCAATGGGAAAGGTAGCACAAACACAACTATTATCACACCCAGTGGGCGATGTAGGCAGAGAGAGAGAGAGAGACAGACACAGAGAGAGAGAGAGAGAGAGAGAGAGAGAGAGAGAGAGAGAGAGAGAGANAGAGAGAGAGAGAGAGAGAGAGAGAGAGAGAGAGAGAGAGAGAGAGAGAGAGAGAGAGAGAGAGAGAGAGTACAAGTAGTGACGAATTCACACTGGGAGCAAAAAAGGGAAAGAAAAACACCAGCGAATCCACAGTCGGCAGTGCAGGCAGCAGGAGATAGAAGAAGCCGTCCGTGAACCAGCTGTGACATGCACTGAACACGGATAAAGTGGGCACGTGCATGCATGGATACAGAGAACTGGTGATAAGGATGAAGATGAATGTGGCCGTCAACAGCCAGTTCAGCAGAACTGTCATTCGAGCAGCACGACCCAGCACTGCACCAGCAACGAGCAACTGCATGAATTCATAAACCATCCCTCAAGGATTTAAAAGGGCAAAAAGGAGCACGTACAAAGACATTCCCCCGACGGCGAGGGCACTAACCTGGACGTATATCTGGCCCAGGGACAAAAGGGAACAAACCTGCAGAGGTCTGAGCGGTCAACGCGCCAGCCCCAAAAAATATGTTGTGGGCGAAATCACGAGTCATGATTACGTACGTACATCGTACGGTACGTACGTCGTATGGTACGTACGTCGTACGCAGGTGATCATGGTACAGACAATTACAACAGAATCATAATAGCATATAAGGCTCGCTACGAGCTGTTCGAACACGGTCATAAGTAGTACCTGATGGATGCCAGCAACCCGACCCGGCAACTTGCTGCCTGCACCTTGCTGCCTGCGCCTTGCCGCCTGCACCTTGCCGCCTGCAACTTGCCGCCTGTAACTTGCAGCGGCGGATGCAGCCAAGCTGCTGAAAGCCAGAGAAGAAGAAGAAGAAGAAGAAGAAGAAGAAGAAGAAGAAGAAGAAGAAGAAGAAGGAGAGAGAGAAGAAGAAGAAGAAGTCAACGGAGCCCGCAGGCGTGCGGAAGATAGTCAACGAGAGCGCACTCGGCGATGCAGGGGTTGGCGTAAGTCTTGCCATCGCTGCCGCACACGGGGGCGAACATCCTGTTGCAGGCGCAGCCATATCCGCATCTTCCGCGACGGAACCTCACGTTCGCACAGCTTGCCGCACACGCATTCGCGTACGTCCGCCCGTCAGAGCCGCACACCGGGTCAACCCTTCGCTGGCACCCGCAGGCCATCTTCATATTCCCCTTCAGATCCACGTCCAGCATGGGCAGGCTGGGAGCCGCCCCCTCTCCGTCACTCCTCCTGCAATCCACTTTGATGCCATTCTCGTAGAAGTCGAAGTGGCAGCCCCTGCAGTAGGTTGCCTTGCAAGTAGCAGAGGGATGACCGGGACAGACAGCGTAGTCGCAAGGATTCACCAGACAGCTCGCCGGCTGCAGCCTCCTGCATACGACCTCGCTATTTTTGTAACACGTGCAATTGCTGCATCCGTCAACAGATGGAATGCCGGTGAGACCAGATGCGAAAAGGTAGCCGTTGTATTCGCAGTACTTGCCACGTTTTCTGCGCAAGCACCGCCCTGTATGAGGTATACCCATCGCCGGGCTCCCTATCGTGTTGATCACGCAGACCTCACGACGGGGGTCACAGAGCGACGCATTAGCATCAGCAGCAGCAGCGGATTTCAAGCTCGAGCTTGAGCTTGAGCTCGAGCTCAAGACCGAGCTCGAGTTCGAACTCGGGTCAGGGACGCAGGGAGAACGACGGCTGATGGTGGTGACTCGCTTGCCCCCTCCGTGGCTGCGCGCCAGAGCCGTAGTAGTCATCTCCATCGCTGCCAGCATCACGACCAGAATGCCAAGTGCTGCTGGCCCACGTCCTGTGGACAGTGTGGAGCGTGCACGAGGCATGTTTCTAACTTTCTAGTAGTTTCTACTACCTGCCTGCGTGCCTCCCCTTTCGACCGACCAAGCAGTGCAACCACCCGGTCCTCCCGCCTGCAATCTCTTTGCAATGGACAAGTCACCGGTTTGCTAAGTTAACCCTGCTTCGCTGGAACTGGTGGAACTAACTGGTAGAGGTGGTTACCACCCCGAATACCCGCGGACACGTCAACGCACCACCTATACACACGCATCCACGCCGTACTTCCCTGAGTGCCTCCCTCCCTCCCTTCTCTTCAGATGCTTGCCCTCAGACCACCACTGACCAGTCCTCTCGTTGCCTACCTATCTATCTCCTCCACTGCCCTCTGTCTCCATTCTTCTCTCCAGGACCAGTCCTCTCTCTCTCTCTCTCTCTCTCTCTCTCTCTCTCTCTCTCTCTCTCTCTCTCTCTCTCCCT